CAAGGTGATCGGCAGGAGGGAAAGAAGATGATTTCCACGATGATGCAGGAACTGACGATATCGATACGTGAATGGGGCTTCGAGTGGAAACCCAGTTCGATTGAGTTAGCGACGTTTGGGGTTGACTTTGAGGCAGAGGCGTTGGAGATTCTAATCCCGACCAAATCTTTTGAGCAAGGACCGAAAAGACAGAGATCAGAGATCACATCTTTGGATTCAGCTGCGAGAGTAACCCCGTTGACAGGACACACACCGCTTCCTCATTCTTCTATGCCAGTGTCACAATCACTTCTTCGTTCACAGTTGCCAGATCCGCAATCACATTTCCATTCGAAATATCCGACAGCTACGCTGAGCAAAATATCCGACAGCTGCGCTGAACAGACGTATCAGACAGCTACGCTGAACAGAGACATACCGGTCCCCCAATCGCCTGAGACAGCACCAACGACGTTTTCTTATGCACATTTGCCAATGTCAGTGCCAGATGTTCACTCTCATGTGCCATCGTCGTCGTTAATAAGAGTGCCTGTTGTTCTTTCGCAGTTGCCTGCAAAAACGGATTCTCCTCATTCTCGTGTGTCTTCGTCGTCGTCGATAAGAGTGCCTGTTGCCTCAGCTTGCAGTGTGCAGCCTGTTGCCTCAGCTTGCAGCGTGCACGAATTGTCTGAGCATGCGGGTGCTGGCGCGTCCACCGACTTGGTGAAGTCACTTTTTGTTCCGCGAGTGCAGGAGATTACATTTTTGGGTGTGCGGCTACACACTCGAATGAGGACGCACTTGGACGTGCAGTATCGGCTCCAGAAAGCTCAGCATGCGTTCTTTCAAGACATGAGTTTGTATCGATGTCGGTCGGTACCGTGGACGGTGAAATGGGAGAAGTATGTGAGCAAAGTACAGAGCACTTTCTTGTATAGTGTTGAAGGATCGAGTATCGACAAATCGGCATTGCAGGATACTCATAAGTTTGAGGGACGTTGCTTGATAAAAATAGTTGGTGTACGAAAAAGGATCGATGAATCATGGTTCAGCTTCAATGTCAGAGCCTATAACTTTGCCAGGGAGAAATTTCGGGAAAAACATCCCAGCCTGGTTGAGTTGTACTTGCAGAAACAATGGGAGTGGAATAAGGATTGTTGCTTGTTCTTGAAGACGGCGGACATCGCGACAGATGCTGTTGGCAGTCAACAGAGTTCTGGAGCTTGGCGAGAATCAGCAAGTGTGTGCCGCAGTTTCATGACTGCGAGGTTGGCGATGTTCCATGGTATGAAACGGTGGACGGAGAGACGTGACTTGTACAATGAAGCGATCAGGGTGCTGAGTAAAAGCTGGAATAACCCAGAAGTGTCAGAAAAACGACGGAGGATTGATTCCCAGGCAATAGGTCAGACATCATGGCACGCTACATTTGAAAGTTTTCGGGGAGATGAGTATTGGAAACACTTGACACATGATGAGGAGACGCGGAAAGCATGGATTGAACATATCAAACAGAGGACAGGACTTACATTCGATCGACATTTTAAGCAGGAGAAAGAAAAACGGGTGGGACCTAACACTTGGGAGGAGGAGGAGGCACCAACACGGGCGGAAACTACAAAGCAGGCAAAGAGGCTCGCACATGTCTTCGCGACGATGACGGATTGGTGGGAGTACGAACAGGGGATTGCACGAGGGCTGCCAGTGGAGATTCAGGGAGATAACATGGCCACGATTAAGTGGTTGAACGGGGAGTGGAAGATCCACAACCGAACATATGCCAGACAGATTGCCGAAATACAAAATGAGTTTCACGAGTTGCATGAGGAGTTTAACGTTGTCGGAGTCACGGTCGGAGGAGACATAGGGAAGCATGTCTATCGGGAGGGAAATCTGAGGGCTGATGAATGAACTCACATTGCACGCATCAGAGATATAGAGTATGATAGGACTCACGAGCTACAGGAGTATGACCTCTACGCCCTGCGGGGCGCTTTCGACGGTGGAGTCGATAAGGATAAAGCAGGAGCAGGTTGGTGGCTGGAGGGATTGATCAAATCATCGGCATCTCATTCAATATATGGGAGCTTCGCCTTTCTGGATAGACCACAGTGGGTGCTGATCAAATCGAAGGCGTTTGGCCTTCCCCCTCAATATTCTGCCATGAACACTGAATTCGAAGCTTTATCGAGCCTCTGCGAGGCCATCTTTAGTGTAACCCGTAACTTCGCCCGTAGGGTTAGGCTGAAGAAACGAACTGTGGCTGCTTTTGGCAGCCGTTAGACAGATCGCAAAAGGCAAAAAACAAAGGTTGACGGTTTACCGCCGGCGCCCAGTTGGCCGACCCGGCCAGAAAGGACAAAGTGGTAACTTCTGGGTGGTCTTGCAATTTTTTGAAAGATATTTGACAATTCATATTGATTCAGAATCATCAGTGGCTGTTGTCTGTTGAATCCAGAGCTCTGAACTCGGTCTGCCGCCCGATCTAGAATCGCGAAACTATTCGTATTGTTCGAGTCATCTTGAGAGATGCTGTCGGTTCTCTGCACTTAACTCGGGCTGCAGGGGGGCTGCATGGCTGTTATTCACTGGAATCGATTCAGAGACATCAGGCGCGTCCGCCTTTCGAATCCAGAGCTCCGAACTCTGTCTGCTGCCCGAACTAGGTCCGCGAAACTATTCGTATTCTTCGAGAGGTGCTGTCGGTTTCCTGCACTTAACTCGGGCTGTAGGGGGGGCTGCAGGGCTGGTAATCACAGGAATCGATTCAGAGACATCAGACGCGTCCGCCTGTCGCATGCAGAGGTCTGAACTCGGTCTGATACTGGAGCTAGGTTTGCCAAACTATTCGTATTGTTCGAGTCATCTTGAGAGGTGCTGTCGATTTACGTACGTAACTCGGGCTGTAGGAGAGCTACAGAGCTCGAAGACAATCCAGAAGCATAGGGGGCGTTCGGCCGTTGCATCCGAGAGGTCTGAAATTGTTTTTTCTGTGTATTTTTTTTCGACATTATATGTTGTCAGGAAGCTCTACGAGTCCCCCGGCGGTAACAAAGGTTGACGGTTTACCGCCGGCGCCCATGGTAACTTCTGGGTGGTTTTGCATTTTTTTGAAAGATCTTTGACAATTCATTTTGAGAAATCAGATTTTTCGCACCTGTAAACGACTATGAGGGCCTCTCTGTCTTAGTATGAGCTCTGTAGGCGCACTTTTACTATCAAAACACTTGGCGGAACCATCTTCATGTCGACACGAAACATGATCGACCCACGAACCCGGAAAGGAATATAGAAATGTAAGGCATTGCAACATTTCAAAGACACCTGATTGGGCGACGGGCACATGCAATGCTGAATGTATCGATGATGACGTACTGTGCCGAGGGCTGTGCTGTGCTACGCCGTGCTGAACTGCGATGTGCCATGCCGCGATTGTGCTCTATATAGCGTTGTGGATCGAGTCATCCCTGGCATCCGAGTCCTCACCGAACTGATCTGGAGCGTAAGCTCGAGCTGCCTGAGCAGATGGTAGCTGCCCCAGAACTAATCGACAGAGGGAACATGCCAGGAGGACGCGCCGCGGAACGTCCCAAGGGACGCGCCAGGCGACGTGCCAGGGGACGTGCCATGGGGCACGCACCGCGGGACGTGCCAAGGGGACGCGCTACGGAACGTGCCAATGGACGTGCCGAGGGACGTGCCAGGGGACGCGCCGCGCGACGTGCCAGGTGGACTCGCCACGGAACGCGCCAAGGAACGTGCCAAAGTGCATAGTTGAGTGTATCGATCTTGATGTACCGTGCCGACGGCTGTGCTGTGCTGGGCCGTGCTGAACTGCGACGTGCCATGCCGCGATTGTGCTCTATATAGCGTTGTGGATGGAGTCCTCCCTGGCATCCGAGTCCTCACCGAACTGATCTGGATCGTAAGCTCGAGCTGCCTGAGCCGATGGTAGCTGCCCAAGAACTAATCGACAGAGGGAACATGCCAAGAGGACGCGCCGCGGAACGTCCCAAGGGACGCGCCAGGCGACGTGCCAGGGGACGTGCCATGGGCACGCACCGCGGGACGTGCCAAGGGGACGCGCTACGGAACGTGCCAATGGACGTGCACCGCGCGACGTGCCAGGGGGACTCGCCACGGGACGCTCCGCGGAACGTGCCAGGCAGCATGCCAGGCTGCAATGCTAAGGGTATCGATATTGATGTACCGTGCCGAGGGCTGTGCCGTGCCTGGGCGACCTGAACACATGAAAACACGCGTTTCGCTCAAGACGTTGTCAACACATCCACATGCTAGACATCGTCGCTGGGCAACCTGGACACGTGCAAACAGGCGTCTCGCTCGAGACATCCTCAACAAATGTTCATGCTAGACATCCGCCTGGGCGACCTGGGCACGTGAAAACAAGCCTCTGGTTCGAGACATCCTCAACAAATCCTCATGCTAGACATCTGTCTGGGCCACCTGGAGGCGTCTCGCTCGAGACATCCTCAAGACCTGGGCACGTGAAAACAAGCAATCCACTTGAGAGATCCTCCGAATTGAGGTCCCCAGGAGAGGACAACCTATAACACAAAACCAGCGTTTCGCTCGAGACATCCTCAACCAATTATGAAAAACAAGCGTTTCGCTAGGGACATCCTCAATTTTTAATTCGCCGGCCCTACGCGACCTCGTTATTTATCGCAAAAGAAATTCGCCGGCCCTACAGCCGTCAAAACCGGGGGGAAACCAACTAAAAAAGAACCCTGGGCCTTTGCCCTTTCCGGGAAACAGTCCTGCTAACCCACCCAACCCTGTCTTGGCGATCATGAGCCACCCAACCCAACCCAAGACCAGGTCCTGCCAACCTCCGTAGCCATTTTGGCTCAAGTGTCCGCGCGTGTCTGCTCGCTGTGCGCGCTGGTGGGAGTCCCCCCCTCGCCAGCGCTCCCTCTCGCGGCGCGCGCACATCGGGCCAGCCGTTGGCAGGCCGGCACCCTGCCAGTCCTGGCAAGCGGGCCTCCGCGGCGCGAGCCATGGCGGTCCAGGACCCGCTCCTGGTGGAGGAGGGCGGGAGGTGGGCGCCGGAGGTCGACAGGATCTACGAGCAGAGCTTCAGACCGACGCCTTTGGGATTGAATTTCACCATGGGCCCAGGGCTCCGGTGGGTCAGAGCAGCGACGGTCTTCACACTTGTCATGTGGATGCTCGTCATGCCTATCGTGTACACCCAGTTGACATGCGACCCCGAGACGCTCGACGCTCATGCCGCAAAGCACCCCATGTGGGTCTGGGCCATCTTGCTCGTGTTGTCAGCTGTGGTCGTACTCGCGGAAGCGAAGGCCCTGATGTATTGCATGCGGCCGTTCAAAGAGTTACGGAGGGCTGCTGGCTTGACAGAGGCCCGACTCGGCATACTCGGTATTTTCAAAGTCAGCGATACGAAGTACATCCTTTTTAGGTTGTTCTCGACATTCGTGAACGTGTTCTTCGGCTTGTATGTCTTTGGCCTCAGCATGGTGCAGTCAGCAGGGGATCAGCTCTGTCGCGGCACGACCCAGTGGCATTTCGCGTGGGATGCGACGATGTTGCAATCATGGTTTTCGTTCATCTCACTTTTCTTCTGGGACAAGGTGGGAAACCTTACGCACTGCTATTTTGCATGTGTGGTTCTTCTGTTCATATCTTTCCCGAGGGCGCTGCTTCATTCCATCCCGGCACCTTTGCGAGCCGACGAAACCATGGAGAGGGAAACCACATGTTGTTTCATTTGGATACTTCGGGTTTGTAGGGACGCCTGGACGCCAACGCCACCAGTCGACATGGCTGTCAAGACAGTGTACGACATGGAATCTAAAAAATGGAAGGAGGTGCGCTTCCGCTCCTGTTGGAGAAGACTCTGTGATCGTTGGTCACAAGTTGTAAAGACTACAGCAATGCGCGTCACTGGTGTTGATTTGGGAGGTTGCCATTGCCTCGAAAGCGTTTGGTTGTCAACGTTTTTTACTGACGCTAGCGTTTCATTGGCCGCAGTTATGGGGTTGGACGGCTTGAAAGATATAGCCCAAACGTTGGCCATATGCCAACTACACAAATTCAGACGAGAAGTAGATTCGGGCAACATAGACGAAAAGGAAACCAAAAGGAAGTTCGTACAGATGCAGCGGCGCTTGATCCTCGTCCTCGAGGCGGCACTCCGGCAGACGTACGGCCACACCGTTATGAGAGGCGGCGTCATCCTCAATCTGCAGGTGACGCAGTTCTATCTCCACAGGGCAGTCATGTTGCACACCATGAACACTATTTATATGGACCACCCGACGCTTTACTCAATCTTGTTCACGGTTGGATCTGTGGTAGTGTTCGATTTGATGATCCAGTTGAGACAAGCTTTACACATGTATTGTCAAGTGATGGGGACCATCCGCAGCAAGGTTTCTGGTGGTACGACGCTTGAGTCGATAGGCAGTTCTTGTAAGCAAGACAAGAAGACGATTAATTTGCTCATGATGTATGTGATATGTTGGGCAGTCATTGGTTACTCGCTTTTCGCATACGCCGTCCTCAAGCTGTACATGTCGCTGATGGCTTGCCCAGGTGAAGGTTACAATTTGGGCAGTTGCGCGCCGATTCCTTGGGACTGCTTGAACACCACACTGCATCCCGACAAGGTAGGCTGCATCCGGAACTCTGTATAATCTCAGGCGCATGCCTGCCAGGGAGTCTGATGTGAACCAGTGTGAATCATGGTCGCGTGCGTCCCACTTCTCCTGCCCACTCCGCCTTGATTGTCTTCTGCCCACTCCTCACAAATTCATCCTTCATCCCTGGATTCGTCCTCTCACTCCATTGCTATTTGCAAGCCGACAGTTCACCAGAGAATAGACGGGCAGCGAAGGCGCCGCGCAGTACACCGCGAGTTGTTCGCACGACCTCTGGCAGCATGGGTTCACAGTGTGCTGCGCACGGGGCCTCGGGGATCGTGGCATTCTTGCCAAGCTGAACCTGTCGAGTAGTTAGATTGTGAGTTTTGTCGGCGCTCGTGCTGATAGCGTCCCAATCCCGCTTGGAACCCACGAGGTCTCGCGAGCCCCCCCCCCCCGCCCCCTGCGTCCTCGGCAGCAGCACGGCCGCTGCCGAGAGGGAGTGCCCTGAGCTGACGGAGTGCATCTGCCATTCTGACCCTTGCTATTCGTCGCGGAGCGGCTTGAGCTTGCCCGCTGCAGATCGGTTTGTGCGGCGCCGTTTGCTCGCCCGACGACCTTTTCAATCGCAGTTTTGTTGCGGCTTGCTTGCGCATAAAACAAGCATTTCGCCTGAGACATCCTCTGAATTCTGGCCCCCCACGAGGCCCCCGCTCGAGACATCCCCAAGTTTGCAGAAACCAGCGTTTCGCTCGAGACATCCTCAACAAATTATGAAAAACAAGCGTTTCGCTCGAGACATCCGGTCAAAATTCTAAGAAATCCTGACAAAACAAACGAATTAGTCGAGACATCCTCGAAATTCCTGCGCGCGGGACGCGGCCCGCGCGAGACATCCTTGGAATTCCCGCGAGCGGGACACGAAAACAAGCATTTCGCCTGAGACATCCTCTGAATTCTGGCCCCCCGCTCGAGACATCTCCAAATTTTGCGGAAACCAGCGTTTCGCTCGAGACATCCTCCACAAACTATGTAAAATAAGCGTTTCGCTCGAGACATCCCGCCAAAGTTCTAAGAAATCCTGACAAAACAAGCGAATTAGTCGAGACATCCTCGAAATTCCTGCGCGCGGGACGCGGCACGCGCGAGACATCCTCGGAATTCCTGCGCGCGGGGCGCTTTTCCGAGTCGCGGTCGGCAAAGGGGACCGAACTAGAACCAACCGGCGCGACCGGCGCGACCGGCGCGACCGGCACCGGCGCGACCAGCGCGATTGCGACCGGCGCGACCGGCGCGCGACAACCGGCGCGACCGGCGACCGGCACCGCGACCGGCGCGACGGCGCGACCGGCACCGGCGACCGGCGCGACCGGCGCGACCGGCGCGACCGGCGCACCCGGCGCGACCGGCGCGACCGGCGCGACCGGCACAACCGGCTCGACCGGCGCGACCGGCACCGGCGCGACCGGCGCGACCGGCACGATCAGCACGACCGGCGCGACCGGCGCGACCGGCGCGCCCGGCGCGCCCGGTTGGGGGCCTCCGGGGGGCCTCTTGGGGCCATCTTGGGGCCTCTTGGTGCCTCCTGGGCGCTTCGGGGGGCCATCTTGGAGGGCATGGATCCAAGAAGAGGGGAGCTTTAATGAGCGCTGCTCCCTCGGAAGGGCAAAATGAGCCCAAAACCTTAGTAAAATCAATAATATTGCCTTGACGGGAGGGGGGAGCTTGCATGAGCGCTGCCCCCTCAGAAGGGCCAAATGGAGCCAAAACCGTAGTAAAATCAATGTTTTTGGCTTCAAGGAAGAGGAGGGTACCTTATCTCCGTCCCCCCGTCGGGGCCAGAATCCTCGTGAGGGGTGTCGTTTTTTAGCCCTCCGAGGAGTCGAAAAAGACCCCCCCGGCGACCCGCGGAACACCCCCTCCAGGCCCAGGGGGAGGGGGTAGGGGGAGGGGTAAACCCCTCCCCGAAGGGGAAGAAGGGGGGTTGAGGACAGAGAGAGCTCGCTGAACCACTCACGCCCAAAGGGCTGGTGGGATTTGAGGATGTCTCGAGCGAAACGCTTGTTTTTCAGAATTTGTTGAGGATGTCTCGAGCGAAACGCTTGTTTTGTGTTATAGATTGTCCTCTCCTGGGGGCCTGAATTCTGAGGATCTCTCAAGTGGATTCGTGCCCTGGTCTTGAGGATGCCTCGAGCGAGACGCTTGGTTTCACGCCTCCAGGTGGCCCAGACAGATGTCTAGCATGAGGATTTGTTGAGGATGTCTCGAACCAGAGGCTTGTTTTCACGTGTCCAGGTCGCCCAGGCGGATGTCTAACATGAGCATTTGTTGAGGATGTCTCGAGCGAGACGCTTGTTTGCACGTGTCCAGGTTGCCCAAGCGGATGTCTAGCATGAGGATGTGCTGACAACGTCTTGAGCGAAACGCGTGTTTTCACGTGTCCAGGTCGCCCAGGCACAGCACAGCCCTCGGCACGGTACATCAATATCGATACCTTTAGCATTGCAGCCTGGCATGTTGCTTGGCACGTTCCGCGGAGCGTCCCGTGGCGAGTCCCCCTGGCACGTCGCGCGGTGCACGTCCATTGGCACGTTCCGTAGCGCGTCCCCTTGGCACGTCCCACGGTGCGTGCCCATGGCACGTCCCCTGGCACGTCCCCTGGCGCGTCCCTTGGGACGTTCCGCGGCGCGTCCTCTTGGCATGTTCCCTCTGTCGATTAGTTCTGGGGCAGCTACCATCTGCTCAGGCAGCTCGAGCTTACGATCCAGATCAGTTCGGTGAGGACTCGGATGCCAGGGAGGACTCGATCCACAACGCTATATCTATATCTATAGAGAGAGAGAGAGAGAGAGAGCACAATCGCGGCATGACGCATCGCAGTTCAGCACGGCCCAGCACAGCACAGCCGTCGGCACGGTACATCAATATCGATACACTCAACTATACACTTTGGCACGAGAGAGAGAGAGAGCACAATCGCGGCATCACGCATCGCAGTTCAGCACGGCCCAGCACAGCACAGCCGTCGGCACGGTACATCAATATCGATACACTCAACTATACACTTTGGCACGTTCCTTGGCGCGTTCCGTGGCGAGTCCACCTGGCACGTCGCGCGGCGCGTCCCATGGCACGTCCCTCGGCACGTCCATTGGCACGTTCCGTAGCGCGTCCCCTTGGCACGTCCCACGGTGCGTCCCCATGGCACGTCCCCTGGCACGTCGCCTGGCGCGTCCCTTGGGACGTTCCGCGGCGCGTCCTCTTGGCATGTTCCCTCTGTCGATTAATTCTGGGGCAGCTACCATCCTGAGCAGCTCGAGCTTACGCTCCAGATCAGTTCGGTGAGGACTCGGATGCCAGGGAGGACTCGATCCACAACGCTATATAGAAAACAATCGCGGCATGGCACATCGCAGTTCAGCACGGCGTAGCACAGCACAGCCCTCGGCACAGTACATCATCATCGATACATTTAGCATTGCATGTGCCCGTCGCCCAATCAGGTGTCTTTGAAATGTTACAATGCCTTACATTTCTATATTCCTTTCCGGGTTCGTGGGTCGATCATGTTCTACTGCGCTGTCCCAGCGCGTTGGGCTGCCACGAGGCAGATCCTGCAGGACCAAGATTCAGCTGCGCGTGAGAGCGACCCTTCGCCAAATTGACCTTTGGTGCGGGCCCACCAGGGCTCCCTCAGGCACTGGCCCACGCGCTTGGATCTGGCCCCCTCCCTCCCCCGCAGCCCCCCCCCCAAGCTGCACACCAAAGGTCACCCCTACCTGCAGGGCCACGCCCTCCGTGCCACCGAGAGCTCATGGCAGCGTCTCCTTTCCCGATCCGCCCCAGGTTCTCCAGACACACATACCGCTACCCTTGCCTCGTTTGCGCCTCGTTGGGCCTCCTGGGAGGCCCTCGTCGCCACCGCTGGATTCGCCTCGGGAGTCTGGTCAGAAGGCACCCCAGGAGAGGGCCATGAAGCATCGGTATCGATACCGTCTGGTGCCTCAAATATCTTGCATGCCTCGCCCTGATGAGATTGGTAAGAGCGGTTTTCACAATCGTTGGCCACGATATGTTGGGGGGTCACGGCATTGTTGTGAGGTGTACGTTGATTTACCTCTCTCCTTCTTGTTCTATCTTCGAGTCGGCGACTACGAGGCGTCGGCGACTACGAGGCGTAGCTCGCGACGCACACATTCGAGATCCGATGTCAAAAAGGTTGCTCCTAATGTGGTTTCCTCGCTCTCGGCCCTCCTTTCCCCCTCCTCCATTCCTGCCCCCGCGGCCTCTCGCGTTTAATTTTGACGAGGGCCGGCAGAAGTCTCCACGGGCATGCTCCCGCAGAAAGGCACTCGGGATTACACGCACGCCCGAGCTGCTCAAGCATGTCGTTTTCCCCGCCGCTGCGTTCGCAGAAAGGCACCCGGGGTTGCACGCACACCCGGGCTGCTGACGCAGTTTTTCTGTTTACTCGACGCTTCCGCGCGCCATCCGCTGCAGGGCGGGGTGCGGCCGGGGACTTTTCCAGCGCCTTCTGCATGCGACTTCCGCACGCAGTACCGCATCGTTTCCTCTTGCTCCTCCCGCGGCGGTGCGCGCCGGCGCAGCCGACGGGCCGGCCCGGCGATGCGTCGGCGACTACGAGGCGTAGCTCGCGACGCACACATTCGAGATCCGATGTCAAAAAGGTTGCTCCTGATGTGGTATCCTCGCTCTCGGCCCTCCTTTCCCCCTCCTCCATTCCTGCCCCCGCGGCCTCTCGTGTTCTTCATTTTGACTAAGGCCGGCAGGAGTCTGCCCGGGCATCCCCCCCGCAGAAAGGCACGACATCACGACATCACGTCCTCATGACACCTCCCATGGGGCACCTACATGGCAAGTGCGATCTCTGTGATGGTGTCGCAACCGACCTCACTTACACACTACACCACGCCGCACCGCACCGCACCGCACCGCACCACACCGCACCGCACACACACACGCACACACACACACACACACACAACACACCACACCACACCACACACACGCACACACCACACCACACACCACGCCACACAACATCACGCCACATCACACCGTACCCCACACCACGCCACGCCACGCCACGAGATCATGACACCACCCACGGGACACGACGGGAGAGCGACATGACGACTGTGATGTCTGTGTTGATATCACAATCGACGCGCCGCTGGCGCAGCCGGCGCCGCTGGCGCAGCCGGCGCAGCCGGCGCAACCAGCGCGACCGGCGCGACCGGCGCGACCGGCGCAACCGGCGCAACCGGCGCGACCGGCGCAGCTGGCGCAGCCGGCGCGACCGGCGCGACCGGCGCGACCGGCGCGACCGGCGCGACCGGCGCAACCGGCGCGACCGGCGCAGCCGGCGCAACCGGCGCGACCGGCGCGACCGGCGCGACCGGCGCGACCGGCGCGACCGGCGCAACCGGCGCGACCGGCGCGACCGGCGCGACCGGCTCCGGTTCCAGATCAGCCTCTTCTCGCGGTCGGGGCTCCAGACCCCGT